TTTTATAAATCTAAACTTCACTTCTTAGTAGATGATAGTTTTATTGAAATTTTTTATGACAAATGAAAATATATCTTAAAAAGAATGTGAATATTTTGTAAGGATTGCTGTAACACAAAACAATGATAAATTTCTGAAAAATATTGGAGAGTATTGGAAAAAAGTTGAATTTTAAGTGTATATAAACTTATTGATAATAGATTATATACTGCTAAAAGATTACATTTACACTTTTATGCATGTAAATAATTGCATATGCCTTCATACATAAGTACAAATTTAAATATATCATTACTTTTGATGCAGAATGAATTACGAGGGCTGTTCGGAAAGTTCGCGGCCTCAAATAGAACAACAAACAAAATAATGTTAAAACTTTTTTATTTTTTAATGTAGACTCCTTTGTTAGCAATGCACTTATTCCAGCGATGTTCTAGCTTTTTTATGCCATCACAATAGGTCGATTTGTCAAGGTGTGCAAAATACTCGTTCACTTCAGAGATGACTTCGTCATTTGAGTGGAATCTCTTTCCAGCCAAGAATTTTTTTAGGTTTGGAAAAAGGTGGAAGTCACTGGGGGCCAAATCAGGTGAGTACGGTGGATGTGGAACTAATTGGAAGCGAAGTTCGTTTATCTTTTGTTCAGTGATTCTGGCGGAATGTGCAGGTGCATTATCGTGGTGGAACAGAACTTTTTTCTTCTTCAAGTGTGGCCTCTTTTCTTCGATTTCTTTCTTCAGTTTTTCCAAAAGTTCACAGTAATAGACAGCATTAATGGTCTTTCCTCTTTCTAGGTAGTCAATAAAGATGATGCCTTTAGCATCCCAAAAAACCGAGGCCATCACTTTACCCGCTGATGGAACTGTCTTTGCCTTCTTTGGTGGTGGCGAACTGTGGTGTTTCCATTGCTTCGACTGTTCTTTTGTTTCAGGAGTGTAGTAATGGATCCACGTTTCGTCAGTAGTCACAAACCGACGCAAGAAATCCTGTGGGTTTTTCTGGTAGAAGTCCAAACACTCCTTTGACATCAAAGTGCGAACACGTTTTTGCTCGGCGGTCAGCAGATGCGGCACCCACCTTGCTGAGACCTTCGTCATACCCAAATCTTCGGTTAGGATGTGGTGCACTCGGTCGACAGAGATGCCTGTTGTCTCAGCTGTCTCAAGCGTTTTCAAACGGCGATCTGCTAATAACAAATCGTGACCTTTGTCGATATTTTCTTCAGTGACAGCAGTTGACGGCCGTCCGCTGCGAGGGTCATCTTCCACACTCTCTCTGCCAGATTTAAAAAGGGCTGTCCATTTTTTCACAGTGGTGTACGAAGGAGCAGACTCTCCCAAAACTTCATCCATGTCAGCTTTGATTTGAGATGGGGTCAACCCTTTTTTCTTCAGGTATTTTATGACCGCATGAGTCTCCGTCTTCTCCATTTTTGACAAAGTATGTGCACACTGACTATCTGCTAAGCTGTCGTGGCAAAACTTTTTGACAAATCAAGCGGAAATTGGTATCGTATCTCTAGCACAGATGGCTGAATTATTCCCGCCAAAAATTAAATTGATCGCAGCGCCGCATATAGGCAAGGCCGCAAACTTTCCGAACAGCCCTCGTACATTCATTGGCAGTTTGTATTAATATGCATTTAATAAATGAATGTTCATTAAACAAAAGATGATTGAATATTATGAATATAAATTTTGGAAGACTTGTATGTCTTGAATATAAATGATAAATAAAACATATATAATTGTTTTATAAACTAATAATCATTACTAAATATAAGCTTATAATCTAACTTAAAAATTAGACTATCTACATTCATATCATTTATTTTTGCTGATTTTATTTTCTATTTTCAATAAAAATGTCATAGTAAACAAGAAAACTCATAAAAAGGTTAAAACTAAACTGAAACTATTTCATAAAATACTACTTACTCTTTAGTTAAATATATTTTTTTGATTTTAAATCTATTGTATATAAAAAAAATTTTTATTTAAGTATATAAAATTGATATGAATTAATAAGATATTATTATAACTATTAAAATACAGAGGAACCTGGTTAACTCAAACTTAGATAACGAAGTTGCAATTACTGAAAGTCATTTTCTTTCCAAAATCATCTGACATAACGTGTTAAATCAATTTAACAATTAGTCTAAATCAACAAGACACATACATATATACAGTCTACCCCCCTATAACGTGTAGATATAGGAATCCCCCACTTTATAAGAATTTCACATTGTAGGAATCCTTAAATACATGAGCCAATCACAGCCTGGCACATGTGCAGTTTACGGACTATGACTGTTTGAAAGATTTTCTTCCATAAAATTAATCGATTCTAGACTAATTCGACTCAACATTTCCAAAACACATATAATTTTTTGGGAATAATCTGTATAAACTATGCTATAAACAAAAATTTGTAGGATTACTTATTGAGTGTGCACCATTCGACGACGCCATTGCTTAAGCTTGTTTTTGTCACGGAGTAGCACACCAAACAGCGGGCGCGTTTTCTGATAAGTTATTTTTCTGCAAAAAATTTGTTGAACTTTGGAGACATCATTAATAGAAATAATTTTTATGGTTGTTGAATAAAAAATGTTTTTTTTTACAAGAAATGTATAAAATTACAGTACTGTATTGGACTTACAGTACCTAATTTATATACTGTACAGACAATAGTAAACTCAACTTACCCACCTGAACTCTCCGTAGCGTGGCGCTAGACGGCGGAAAGTAGTTTGGCTGCTCGTCCACTATTGGTCCAGATTCAACCAATCCTGTAACAACACGAGTCGGTGATGACGTTTTACCGCATTTTACGAGTCTCTTTTAGTGTCTTTATACGAATACAGTCACAAGTTTTTTGCCTCAATATACGAATCCGCATTATATGAACCCGTGTTGTTATAGGGGGTTGACTATATATACATACAGGCTTATCACACCAGTGAATGAGATTAATTAACAAATTCTTTACTGATTATTAATATGTTAATAATAAAAATTTACAATAAACTTTGGCTTCTTTAACATGTACAGTACATAATATAGAACACTCAAAATACATTTCAGACATAATAAACAGACCCTCTTCAGTTGGTGTTCATACATATAAAATTATAAAAATAAATTACAAATACATTTTAAAAGGCTGCTGAAATTGTCGTTTACAACAATCTTTTAAATGTATTGGATTGAACCAAAAGTTCATTCAGTTTTTAGAAAGAAATAAAATATACTATTTTGAAATAAATAAAAATTTTTAATTCACTATGTATTCACCCTTCTGTTCGATAACCTTATGCCATCTGACAAATAGTTTTATAATTTCATCTGTATAGAATTGGATGGGTTTCTGATTGTTGATGAAATTATCGATGTAATTTTTGATACCTTCTAAAGATAAAAATTCTATGCCATTTAAATTATTTTGCAATGAACAAAAAAGATGATGGTCTGAGGGAGCAATATCTGGAGAATATGCATGGTGACTCAAAACATCCCAGTTAAAGTCTAAAAGTTTTTGGCAGACATTTAATGATATGTGCGGTCTTGCATTATCATGATGGAATACTATTCCCTGTTGATTTGCAAGTTCCTGATGTTTTTGATGCACTGCAACCTTTAGTTCATCCAGTTGGAGACAATATTTATTGAAATTGTTTGGTTGTTGGGTAAAAGCTTGTAATAAAGAACCCCTTTCCAGTCCCACCAAACTTTTCTAGGATGCAAACCAGCTTTAGGTTGCAGTACTGGAGGATCACCTGGCTTACTTCAAGATCTCTTGCATTGAATATTATTGTAAACGATTCATTTTTCATTGCCTGTTCTTAATTGCTTTAAAAAGGAATTGTCTTCATTGCGTTTTAAAAGTGAATCACATACAGAAACATGGTCAATAAGGTTTCGTTCACTTAATTGATGGGGAACCCAAACATCATAACAGGAAATGTATCCAAGGCTAGCCAAATGTCTGACAACAGATGTTTGGGATATTTTTAAGATGTCGGCTATCTTTCGTGTTGTTTTATGCCGATCATTTTGAATTAAAGTCATTATGGACTAATCTGCTATGGTTGAAGGCCATTCTGACCAAGGTGCATCTTTGAGAGAAAAATCTTCCTCCCTGAATTTTGAAAATCATTTCTGGCATGTTCGATCAGTAACTACATCCTTCCCATATACAGCACATATCTTTTCTTTGAGTTTTTGTTGCATTTTTTCCTTTTCAGAAATAATAGAGCATGAGATGTCAAAAATACACCTTCTTATCTTCCATTTTAATGTTTTTTTTTTCCTTAAAAGACAACAACATTTTTTAAAATAGCTGTAATTAAACTTATGTAATAAATATGCAAATATTTGTAATGTCAACCTAAACAAGTTAAAACTTGATAATTACGACAGAGTCACCACAGACAAGCAATTATGTAAATACCTGAATGAACTTTTGGTTCAACCCAATACATTTAAAAGGCAGTTGTAAACATAACAACTTCAGCAGCTTTTTAAATGTATTTATAATTTATTTTTATAATTTTATATGTATGAACACCAACTGAAGAGGGATTGTTTATTATGTCCGAAATGTATTTTGAGTGTTCTATATTATGTATACATGTTAAAAGAGCCATAGTTTATTATAAATTTTTATTATTAAGGTGTTAATAATTAATCATTAAAGAATTTGTTAATTAATCTCATTCACTGGTGTAATAAGCCCATATATATATATATATATATACACATACATATCTATCTTGTTGATTTAGACTAAGTGTTAAATAGTATTAAAGGCTAAAAGCAACATATTATTCCATGTTAAATCAAACTGGTTAACACAAATTTCTCAAAACTTTTTAACTTACAGTCCTAATTTTTTTCCTGACTAATTTGAGTTAACCATGTTCCACTATATTATGTTCTTTAACTGTAATACATATGATATTTCTGTACCATTCATGCAAATTGATTGTATTTTAGTTAGTGAATGTCAGAAACTTTGGAAACGAATCCGTGATCGATACGTGAGAGAAAGAAAAGCAATTGAAATGTCTTTGAAAAATGGCAGTACAAATGTTCGTAAAAATTGGGAACTGCATCAACAAATGGATTTTTATAAAGATTGTGGCCGATCTAAACAGTAAGTTTTTATTTATTAATTTTTTACATAATTGATTTATTAATTAAAATATTTCTTTAAATGGTAGACTACTGATTATATATTACCTACTATATTGATATGTAGGATTAAATCTTAACAGTAAAAAATAAAAGTGATTTGAAAATAATCTTTTTTAAATTACATGTAAGTCAATTTTATATAAAATTAGAATAATAAAATAGCATAAAACAGTATAAATAATTTTTATAAATTTGTGTTTATGCAGTTTTACACTTAGATCAGTATACAACTTTCTGTTTGCTCAGTGCATTTTCCATAAACAAAACTATGTACATTTTGTTATACTAGATATATCAAACAACTGTTTCATTTATCTAGGATTTTATTTTCTCATTTTGTCATTTAATAGATATGTCTTTTTGCTGTTATATTGTTTTTGGGTTGAAATTATTTTTATGGATTCTGTTCTGTTTTCTTGAACTTACATACTATTAAGATAGTTGTTTTGAAAGTTGTAATATGTAGTTTCATCTTTTTATATTTTTCTAATTCATTTTTTGTAAATTACAAATGCTGTAATAACCTCAAGATCAAGGATGTTATAAAAGATTTGTACTGGCTTGTCTAGAAACTCTGGAACTCTTCTAGAACAAATATTTTTTTACCATTTTGTCTATACATCAAACCAATACTTTGTATTGTTATAAAATAATACTGTTTCTTATTTTTTTCTTTTTCAATTATTTGAAATAGAAACAGATATATGTAAACTACTTAGTAAAAAGACATTTTTGTTTTTTCCTTATATATTGTTAATAAACAGCAGTTATTTCAACTTGCACACAGTAATAATAATGATGTTCAAATTGACCAGTTTCACAGTTTTAGCTGATATACACTCTTCTGTTTCAAATTATTAATGAAAAATTTAAATCATTTGATATTTAATTTTAAGATAATTTTCTGAAAAGTCAAAAGATATATTTGTGAAATCACAATAATGAAAACTACAGCAAGTAAAGGAATGAAATGAATATGGTCTAAATGATCAGTCTAGCAGTTATAGTGTTAACTTATTTCATAATCATGGTGATATATTGAAATACATTCCACAAAAGTATCAAAATTGTAATTAATGGTTTTAATAAGTAAATGAATGAATTCATATATTATTTAATGAATCAATGATAGTGATTAAAATTTTATTTATTTATTTTAAATACTCCTTACAGGATTTCTCCTCTAGGAGGAGGGGTTAATACAGTTAATGACATTTACAATAAAATTATATTTTTTCCAAATTGTTTCAACAGAATCTATGTTAGAAAACAATGTGTGTATATTGTCCTCAGTAGAAATACAAACATCGCTACAATCTTCAGTTGATGAAAAAGGACAAATTTTTCACAATTGTATATACATTCAAACCTGTCTATAACAGAACCTGTATATAGTGAAAACCTGTCATTAACGAAAAATTTCTTCAGTCCCTTGAATTTTTTGCAAAAAGTAATTATTGTTAATGAAAAAAACAGCATTTACTAAATTACAAATATGCTTAATATAAACACACATAAAAACCTTTACTTGACCAGTAAAAATATATTTAATGAAAACAACTAACGTTTTTGACTGCTTTCTCAGAAGACTGAGAAAGCAGTCGAAAACGTTAGTTGTTTTCATTAAATATATTTTTACTGGTCAAGTAAAGGTTTTTATGTGTGTTTATATTAAGTAAATTGGACCAGTACCAGGTGAGAAGTAACTTTTACAAATATGCTTATAATGTTTAAAACTATAATGAAGATAATTTTCTACTATGGAAATTTGGTCAGCACACCAATTGAAGAAAGATCTATGAGTTATAGATAAACAATAAAAAGGAGTGCATAGACATGATGTGTTCCTAGTTCTTTTAATGGGAACCTTTAATTTTAGTGAATAATTATTTATTAGACCATTAAAAAATTTAAAACATATAGTATTTAATTCTTTCATTAAGTAGAGGAAGGCCAACTCTGACTCTGGCAATGCCAAAATTATGAGTAATGGACAAGTTACTAAATTTGTTTAATATTTAATAAAAAGTAGACACTGTTAATTTCTTTATTAACTTTATTAAGTAAGTAGAGGACAGCAATAAAACGTGCTGAATTGTGCAATTGGATACATTAGTTTGAATACGTACATTTAAATTTGATGACAATTTGTTTGACTGTGTACTATTAGTTTGTCTGCACAATTCTTGCTATCCTCCACCAATCCCCATCATCAAGTTCTCTACATCCACAGGATCCTCCTTTTTTTTTCTGGGAGATTTTCCTTGATCAGACCAATCTAGGTACAATTTTGATACCATTGCTCATGAAGATCCTAGAAGCTTGGCAGTTTCTGAAAAACTGATACTGAATCTTGTTAATCTGGGACTGATGATCATGCTTTATTTGAAGTCACTGAGATTGCTCAATTTGCCCATTCTGATATGAATGCATGCAACAAACATAAAGGAAGGCAGGCTCACTTGATTTTATACTGTAAGTTGGTGTCACTCATCTAATTTCCATATGATGTACTACATGTGAAAGGGTATATGTCTCTAATAAAGTGGCATCTGAGTTATTGTTATATGCTTTTTGTTAGATGTATAAGAATCACAAATATATTCAAAACATATTTCAATTATTAAATAGTGCTGATTCTCTTTGCTTGATTTCTTTTTTTTTTTTGGTATAGAAAAATATAATAAGCTAAGCTAATTATTAACCAAATATCAAACTCAGCCTTTTAAAACACTTAATGAAACATCAAACACCTTCTATTGCTGAGAAATATTTATTAAACAAACACTAACGTTTTCAACCTAATAGAATAGGCCATTTTCAGGTGTAACTGAATTCGGATGTATTTTAAAAATTTAATATTCTAACAATGGACAATCCAAACATTTTACATTTAAATTTAAAATAAAAATATTAGATAAATTAACAAATAAATACTGTAATAAAATAAAATATATTACATAAACTAAATCAACAACGATATAAATAATAAAATAAAATAAAATAAAAATAAAATACATAAAAATGCATCTAAATTTAAGGGCAGGTGCAGACTAAGAGTTTTTATATTTTAATTTTTCTTTTATGTAGAATTTCCATGAAGAAGCTAGTCCATCCACATCCCTGGCATTAATAAAACCATCCTTTAATTTACTTTTATAGATTTCAATTTTTTCTTCGTGCAATGCTAATGATGGGGAACGCGTGGCCTTGAGAATAGTTGTTTCATTCCATATAACTACAGAGTCCTCTGCTTGTGCCATACTTAACAAAACTGTGTTGTAGTGCCCTTTATTAATGTCATATTTGTGCTCCTTAAGTCTAAAAGCTAAATTCCTTCTTGTGAACCAAATATAGTCTTTCTTAATTCCCAATTGCTGATTTTCAAATGAAATTTTATATATGCCCACTTTATCTTCTTTCTTAAGCATGTCTTTATCATTTCTGAGAATACAATATAAATTTGGAGCTCTTTTGGAGTGTTTTTTGTTTGATACTTGTTTTAGATGTTCTTGATGTTTTTATTATAAGTGAACTTGGTGATTTTAAACTGATTTGTTTGGGTTCTTATTTTTTGCCTCCTTCATATCTTCTAATTAGTTCTTCTATTGTACTCTTTTTATATCCCAAGTTTGAAGCTGTTTCTTTGATTCTGTTAATCACTTTCATCCTGTCTAGTAGATTAAAGCAATATGAATATGCTCTTCTAATGAGTGCACAAAAAGCAGACAGTGTGTATCTGTATGGGTAGTTCAAGTTAGCTGGAATGTAAAGTGGACTGTATGTTGGTTTTATGTAGATACCATTGTTTTACAATCTCCTTTCAATTGGATGTCTATATACAAAAAATGTATCCATTTGTGACTTTTTTGTTCTAGTTTAAGTTTTAATCCATCATTGTTGATTATGAACTTATGTATTCTCGCCATTTTTCCAAATAATGCACACATTGTCCACATACCTTTTATAAAATACAACATCCATCCTGAACCCATTGTTAATGTGCTTCTCCAAGTTGCGTAGGACTAGTTCTCATAATAATCCTGACATTGGACTTCCCATAGGTACCCCTTTGTTTTGTCTGTAGGTTTGTTTATCAAAACTGAAGAAGGACTCATAGCAAATTAATTTGGCTAATTTCATCACATTGTTCACAAATGCAGCGACTTCCAGTTTTATGTGGAGCATAAATTCCATTATAGCTTTATAACATGATTCTATTTTTATGGATGGATATAGGTTTCCAAAATCCATAACTGATCCAACTTCTTCATCAAGTAAACTTAATTCCTGTAATTCTTTAACTACATTTGTTGGGTTTTGTGCAACGAGAACATTGTTGCCTAGTTCATCTGAAATGAATCTATGTAAATGTTTTTTAAGAATGTATGTAGATCCTCTGCATTTCTCAACTACAGATCTGACCTCTTTGCCTTCATTATGTATTTTTGCAAATGCAAATAATCTTGGCATTCCTGACTTTGGGTTATGGGATTCTTTAAGGAAAGTTAATATGATGCTTAATGGTGCTCTTTCAAGTCTTTTAACCTTCTGTCTATATTTGTAACAATTTTTTCATTGACCCACTCACATTCCATTCTTTTAATGTATTATTCTAAGGATTTGTTGTAGTTTTGTCTTTTCATGACGACTAGATGCTTACTTTTGTCAACTCGTGTTAGGACCAAATCATTGTCACTCAACCATTGCTTTGTGTACTTCAGCTGTTTCATTTCAATATTTTTTGTTCTGCTGGTGTGATTTTTAACAATAGTCTTCCATCTGAAAAAATTCCTTTCTAAGTCATTGAATTCTGAAATTCATCTCTCCAGTTCTGCCACTGAAATTTGCCATACATGTTCATCTTCCAGAATGAAGTTAAGACCTTTTTGGAGAATTGCTTTACTCTCAGTTGGGATGTCTACTTGGTACCATAAAACAAATGATGATGGGCTTATGTTCTTGTTCTTTTCTTTTGATACTTGTTTAGTCAAGATCCATTTCATTCTTTTGATATATCTTTTCTTTAAACCACTGTATACTCTGTTTGTCAATTTGACTGCTTTCTCATTAATTTCTGTAAGTCTTCCTGTATCATTTATGTATATTTCATTTTCTAATTTAATGAGATCTTGTAACATTCCACACTTTTTAAAGAAAATCAAAATATCTAAATTTCACATTTACAACCTGATATATTTATTGTTAAATAGTAAATGAGTTATTTTGACAAGATGTTTAAGGTATCAAAAAACAATATTATAAAACACCTTACAGTCACATAAAAATAAATTGGAATGCAGTCTGTATAAAGGAATTATGAATATTTGACATAATGATCGTGTTTATAAAATCTGTATGATAGTTATTATTATATTTTGTACATATAAAATTTTATATTTCAATTGAAATTTTATATAAACAAATCCAATAAATTATCTGTATTATCTAAAATTTTATTGATTCCTTTAAACAAATTTCATTTATTAATATATATATTCATTTATTAATATATCAATATACATTTATTAAATTTAAATGTTTCTTTCAGGATGAATTATAGTCAGTCACCACCAAGTCAAAAAGATATTTCAGATGATTCATTTCAAATTATGGAGACTAACAGTCTATACTTGGATGATATTGATATTATAAAATCAGAAGATACTTTTGATAGTTCCTCTCAAGAACCACTCTGTGACAGACTAATGGATATCACATCTACTTCTCAAAAATCACCTTTTTATGATACAACTGAAGAATTCAATAATAGTAGTAAGAAAAGAAAAACCAGTGACAATGAACTGGAAAATCTTAATTTTATGAATAAGTTAATGTCAGGAAATGAAGCTTTTGGTTACTCTATTGTTAAAAGTATTGATAGATGGAAACCATCCAAAGCTGCACGTTTCAAAGCTGCAGTTTTTGAACTGTTAGCAAAATTCGAAGAAGATGAAGAAGGTTCATAAGCATTTAAAAAAGTGAATTTATAATATTTGATTGTAATTAATATATACATTATCATTGGAGACCAAGGGTAGACTATACCTGTAGTATGCTTTTAGCTACTCTGTGATGCATTAAACAAGCCCATTTATATCAAAATGCAAATTATATATCTGAAAAATGAAGTAATTACCACCAAATATATATATATATATATATATATGTTGTAAAATGCCTAGTCAATTCAACTATTACAGCAATTCTTAAAAAAATCTAAAATTCTAAAGTTTTCACATTACACTTAAATAACAATACACCTTTCTGATTTTATTATTTCATCAATTTTGCTTATAGATAATATAAGTTGTAGATTACATTTGGATCAGTTTGACATACATTGGTGATTGCTGCTCGTATAAATATTATAATGTATTTTAGTGATTGATTTAATCAGTTAAATCAGTCAAAGATAATTTATGCATAAATGACTGCTATATAAAGTTTAGTTCTTAATTTTGTAAAACTTAAAAGTTATATAAATATGAATGCAAAAAATATGACTATAAATTTAGATATAACCATTCACAGTTACATGCAGCACTTGTAAGTTTGCCGACCTGGTGGAGATTGGGGACTTAAAATCCCACTTCTCAGATACCAGTATAAGTTTTCTGACTTTTAGGGGAAGATCGTTAATCCTGCATCAGGCTTATCTAGGGATGTTTGTGTGTAGGTGTGGAGGAGGAGACAAGAGATGACAAGTATCTTACAAAAACCCGTTTTTAGCATAAAACAAACTTACACTACGAAACAAATATTTCTGAACAAATCGGCTGGTTGGAAGTCTTTAGCATCGATATTGTCTTGTTGTTCACTTCCTGAGTGTCGGTGTTCTTTTTGTTGTTCATTGTCACAGGTGGCCCTGAGACAGTGTTGTTAAACAGTTAACTTCACAACCAACAACTGTCTACCCTTAACCATTAACCGGTGCGAAATTCTTTAAAATCGGCGAACGTTTTCGATTCCCCTCCTGGGATCTTCTTCAGGCTTACTTCTTTATATCTTTCGTTATTTCTTTATATCTTTCTTTATATCTTTCGTTATTACATTAGGAAGATAGCTAAAGAGCACGGTTACAACAATATGATAGAAGGTTTATGTAAGCAGCACCGGCGTTTGCAGAATGGTGCAGAGGAAAAGGTAGAGGTACTAAATAATGGAAATGAGGATAACGTACAGAGGGTACCAATAACGTATAACCCGCATCTAAAGGCAATGTACGGAAAAATTGCAAAAATAAAAGGAATTAATATTGCATACAAAAGAAACCCAACCATTTACAGTTTATTAAGGAACGGGAAGGACAATTCAGACCCAAATAGGCTGCCAGGGATATACAGTATTCCATTAAAAGATAACAGATGGGATAGACCTTTAGTGTATATCGGATCCACCAAGCGTTCATTGGCCACAAGATTAAAAGAACATAAATCAGACATCGAACATAATAAGTGTACGACGGCCCTATCTACGTATGCGACAAACCCGGACATCACACCTTTCTTCGATGAAGCGCATGTTATTCGCACCACCCAACACACGGAACAACTAAGAACTTTGGAGGCACTGGAAATATTTAAAGCCGATCGTAAATCCGCATGCATTAATTTCAAAGAAGAAATAAATCTCTCTGCAGCATGGCAATTTTTAATTGACGATAAATCATAATATAGTTTATAAGACAAGTTTTATGATGTAATGCACACAATGATTCCCCATTGGTAGAAAATTACATTTGAAATAACAAGTGGATTTCTTCCGTTTTCGGAATTTTTTCGAAAAATAGCACGTTACGTTTTTTCAAAAACATTCGAATTAAAGAATCCGGTTATAACGAAAGATATAAAGAAGTAAGCCTGAAGAAGATCCCAGGAGGGGAATCGAAAACGTTCGCCGATTTTAAAGAATTTCGCACCGGTTAATGGTTAAGGGTAGACAGTTGTTGGTTGTGAAGTTATACAACCCGGTGTGGTAAGAAAGCATATTAATTAAGTTGTTAAACAGTTTATGAGACAGGTGGGGAGACTCCGTTGGTTGGTGGTGGCAGCGGCACGGCTTCAGTATCAGCGCGAAGATGGAAAGTTTTGTCCCAAGTGTGTTGACACACAGCATCTTTGTGCTTTGGAACCTTTCCAGAGAGTCCTCTTGTCCTTGAAGACCAGGATTATATCAATCTCCGTTCTCCCCCTTTTGTCTACCATGATTGGTTCCACATTCCCTTTTCCTGCCTCCCAATTGGTCCCTTGTCTATCCCTAAGTGAAAGACAAGACCTGTTTGGGCCACAAGAAGGGTCAGCTTCAGAGAATCTACCCGACATCATCTGTTAACTCTGGATGGAAAGTGTTGATGGGACTTTGAACTCGCACTCATATTTTACCTCATTGTTGTCTGGTTTATGGCGTCTTAGAATTTTTTTACAACCTGACGCGATGTCCCCTTTTATAATTAACCTTTCCCCTTTTCCAAAATTTTCCATGTTCTAATTTCTTGTATACAAGCACCTTGTCAAAGGTCCATCTCTACTGGAGGACGCTCATTTACATTTATTGCATCGTGTTTTATATTAATAGTATTTTTTTCTTGTCTCGGTTTCATATGACTAGGATAACAAATTCGATCTTTGATCAGTTTTAACAATGGATGTTTTTTCCCTCTAGTTTTGTTTTAATAAAGTTCTATAATAAATGTTTAATTTCAACCCATGTTTGGAACCTCAAACGCTGGCTGGGGGGTGAACTCCTACACCCATAGCCTATGTACTCCTCCACTATGGCATTCAGCATGCTATTGCTATACCTGGCATGTTATATATGTATATATATCAACATCCTGAAACACAATGTATTGATACTAAACCAAACAATTGCCGTAATTAATTGGGCTAATATTAATATTACCTCTTGTACCACATTATATAGTTTCTAATTATTAATTATAGCATAACATTAGCCCAATTAATTATGGTGATCATTTGGTTAGTGTCAATACATCATGTTTCAGGATATTGATATATATACATATATAACATGCCAGGTATAGCAATAGCCAGCTGAGTGCCATAGTGGAGGAGTACATAGGCATAGGAGTCACCCCTAGCAGGTGCCATATGTAACCATAAATGGTTATATCTAAATTTAAATACATCTAGAAGCAAAGACTTCCTCAGGATATGAGTATAAATGTTAAGAAAATGCTTAGTATGATCATGTGTTTTTCATAGTCTACAAAAACTAACAAAACTAGTAAAAATATCAATATAAATGTATATATATTTTTTTGCATTATGATTACAGTATACCTCAATGATTTGTTTTTACAAGTAATATAAATTTCTTGTTGTGATTTATGAAGTGTCCTATTTAAAATCTACCATTTTTTTTTTATTAGCCATCTCAATGTGATATGTAGTTAATACTGGATTCCAGGAGCCAAACTTGACACTGAGACTGAGAAATCAGAATTCAATTTATCATAGCTTATTTAATGGTTTTTACAGAAGCCAATCAATTAGATCATAAAAATGGAGTCTAAAACTTTTGACTCACCAACCAATCAACCAGTGTGAATAACATTTAAGCGACAAATGTTTTTGTTACCCCCTTCTGGGCACTTCAGATCAATTCTTATTTCAAGTAGGCTGGCCGTTGATGTTTGAAAATAAATCGAATGGTACGGATTTCAAATACAGTATGCGCATGCATTCTCTGTAAGATGTTTAAAAAAAGGTTGAACATTACTGAACATCGAATGGTATGGATTTTTACATGTATGCATGCACATACTGTATTTAAAATCCATACCATTCAATTTATTTTTAAATGTCAACGGCCAGCCTACTTGAAATAAGAATTGACCTGAAGAAGTGCCCAGAAGAGGTAACGAAAACATTCGTTGCTTAAACATTATTCACATCGGTTGATTGGTTGGCGAGTTGTAAGTTTTATTTATATCCCAGTGTTGTGCAGTTAAACAAAATGGAGTCTACTGTATAATACAATTTTAAAATTTTATATATTTCATAATTTATTTTTTGAATAAAGATTATAATTTTTAAATATAACTGTAAATTCTTTACAGATTTTGAAATAAATCAATAGTTGATTTAATATATTTACCCAACATTGATATTTTACTCCATAATCTTATTGTGATTTATTAATTGAAAATTTTTATAATAGTTAAATTATACAATAGAGTTATCTACACATAATATATGTATAACTTAGTAATGTAACTTAAAGAATATGACTTATTTATTTTAAACTGTATTTGATTATATTGCATTATGGTTATATTTAAAACAAAAATTTTTTTATATGTGAAATAGAAATATATTTGAAAATTAATCATGTTTAATTAGTCAGTCAGAAAATGCTAGTAATAATTTTTATCAATAAGATTTAATAGTGACAAACTATTTGATGTTTAAATGCATGACAGAAGGAATTTAGAATTTTAAATAGCTACATTAAATTTAAGAAATTTAGAAGAATTCTATTTTCAGTTTATATAAAAATTATTTTATCATCTGAACTGAAAATTAATAAAAATAAGTTTTTGTTTTAATTAAAATGTTCTTCAATAACAAAACTTGTATTTAGTTAATTAATATCTACAAATTGTTCTATATGAAAAGTCTGAATGGACAAAAGTTGATAAGTGACTTTAAACAATGTGAATGTATTATTCAACCACATTGTCTGGTTATTAAGTTTAGATTATATAACTAAAATAATAATTATTGGTTTATAATTGATGAAAAGATTTTAAATTATTGTGTGGATGATCAAAAATAGTCACAATTAAAAATTGTTTTATAGATATGTTACACAGAACAAAATCAGAAAATTGCAAATATTTGTGTATAATACAAATATAAGCTGTTTTTCTGCATTTTACTCTATTTATATCCATTGTATTTATAAAACAGCTTTTAACCGTAAATTTTTAGTTAGTATGTATCAAAAATAAACTTTATTCATATTTTCATACTTAAGTAAACCTGTTATGGTACGTTGGTTGTGAAGTTATACAACCCGGTGTGGTAAGAAANAAACAAAAATTTTTTTATATGTGAAATAGAAATATATTTGAAAATTAATCATGTTTAATTAGTCAGTCAGAAAATGCTAGTAATAATTTTTATCAATAAGATTTAATAGTGACAAACTATTTGATGTTTAAATGCATGACAGAAGGAATTTAGAATTTTAAATAGCTACATTAAATTTAAGAAATTTAGAAGAATTCTATTTTCAGTTTATATAAAAATTATTTTATCATCTGAACTGAAAATTAATAAAAATAAGTTTTTGTTTTAATTAAAATGTTCTTCAATAACAAAACTTGTATTTAGTTAATTAATATCTACAAATTGTTCTATATGAAAAGTCTGAATGGACAAAAGTTGATAAGTGACTTTAAACAATGTGAATGTATTATTCAACCACATTGTCTGGTTATTAAGTTTAGATTATATAACTAAAATAATAATTATTGGTTTATAATTGATGAAAAGATTTTAAATTATTGTGTGGATGATCAAAAATAGTCACAATTAAAAATTGTTTTATAGATATGTTACACAGAACAAAATCAGAAAATTGCAAATATTTGTGTATAATACAAATATAAGCTGTTTTTCTGCATTTTACTCTATTTATATCCATTGTATTTATAAAACAGCTTTTAACCGTAAATTTTTAGTTAGTATGTATCAAAAATAAACTTTATTCATATTTTCATACTTAAGTAAACCTGTTATGGTACTTGATACATGTCAAAAAATTTTTTATCATAATAATTACTGTATATTCATTTATAACTAAGAATTATCAGAATAATTCATCAGTTATTTTAATAAATGAATACATTTTTTAAAACATATTTCTAAAATAACAAATAGTTTGAAAATTATAAAAGATATACCATTAA